TATACCTACATAGAAAATAATACGAAAAATACAAATCATTATTATAATAATAAATAAAGTTTTAAATAGTAGTGTTGTTTAATATTATAAAAGGTGTAAATTTCAACACAATTTTAGCATTTCTGAATAACCTCAGATTAGTCTGCAAGGCTTCTTAAGTCCTAAGTTCTTAAAACAGAAACATCTGCCTCCCGCCCACTTAACCCCCGTGAAGACAAATGACGGGCTACCGATGAACATCAATTCACTTATTACCGACCTCAAAGTAAATCATTTATTGTGCGATCTAAATCTGGCTATTTACTCAACGAGGGGTCAAAGAGACCCATCACTCAACGAATAGTGGACTCTTTTGTGCAATGAACTTGATGGGTTAGGTTTTAACCTTAAGGTAACATTTACTTCATATAATTTAATTATATTTTATAAAATATAATACATACATGTATGTTTAGATGTATTTAAATAATAAAATCTTTTAGTGACACCTATATTACTATACACTATTAATATTAATTTGTAAAACTATGTACTAACAACTGTCCATTATTTTGTTTCGCAACTCCTAAAATAATTAATATGGCAAAAGCAAAACAAATTTATGAAAATAAACATCACACAAAATAATTATATTTTCAGTTATTAATGTACGTAAATATTTTTTATATATTTTTATTTTTGTAAATTATCAATTGAGAAAACATTTCGAAACAATATGTCATATATTATATAATATTTTCAATTAATAAGAAGTATATTGAAAAAATACGGTTAGATACTATAAAAAAGGCTTTTGTATTTTAGAGCTGGTCTGGTATCAATGATTATGATAAATATTTATCGGTCAATTGACCGAGACTGCTCCGTCTGTTAAGAGATCTCAAAGAAACTTTGAGAAGAAACTCGAGGATAAGCAGCCAACCGATACAGGTTATTGGAAATATCTGGTGTAAGATTCAGTACATTTCTAAGTATATTTGAAAAAAAAGGATTATGAAGATTGTTACTTTAATTTTCCAAATATTTTCTATATTCTTATGAAGACCGAGGAGTAAAAAAAATTGTTACCTATAAACAGGACACATATACTATTACAAAGTTACAGTTTTTAATGTTCAAGTAATATATACTATATATATAATTTTTCATCAATCGCATTATGTGACGTAGTTCTTTCAAATTAATATTTAAAGACAGTTTGAATGAGGATAGGCACCGCGTGAGTTTTCAATAAAACTTTGTATATTCAGAACTGCTGGCACTTTTAATGTATGTAGAACACTTGCTTTATATTTTTTTATTTTATAGGAAACTCATCAAATTTATGAAATGTTAGGCATCGATTGGAAAAATGTAATAGGAGGGAGTCTGTCGGTGTATTGTTTTACCAGTAGGATAAACGCTTCGAGAAACAAGGAACAAACTAGTGTCAAATCACATCGTCAGGAAGTAAATGTAAATGGAATAGATTGAGAGATTTTGACCAACCGAAATGTGTAGAGATGGGTATAAAAAAAACTTAGGAATTAGAGTAGTAAGAAATAGGCAACGTTAAAAAATTTGTGAAAATTTAAAGAACAGTAGCAACAAAGAGGAGAATTCTGTTTATAATAGAATAAATGATTTTAGGTTCGAAAACAAAGAAATCGAAATGAACAGCGTTTTAAAAACCCTTAATAAAATATTTATTTATGTATTTCTTTGGTCTAAGGCTCTTCATTTCTAAGGTCTGACATTTTTATTTTAATTTGTTTAAGATACGAAATTAAAAAAAATGAAGAATTTTCATTTCTATGTGGAACAAATATAGATAAGTAAAAAACAATCATTATTTTTTTGTGTACCACTATACTTTCAAAATAAATATAAAGCGAGTTTAGATATTGTGAGGCAAAATAAGGACTATAAAAATATTGAAACAGAAGCAAACATTAAATTCTGGGACAATTTTTAAAAGAATTTATAATAACCACAATTTATCATCTGTTAAAATACTCGTCAGACGAAAACTAGAACAGTGAATAAACCACTTTTATTGCGGGCAAATGTTTAGTTCCCGAGGGAGAACATAAAGACTAGAAAAGGTGTAAAGGTAGGTAACTATTCATATCAATTTGGGAATTATAACTTACAAAAATAATAAATCAATATTAATTATGTTGTTCTACAAAAATTGTTTAATAATATGAGTACATAATATATTATAATTTTGTATGAAAATTAAGAGATTAGAATTTTATTCATAGTTTAGAGAGAATCTATGAATTTACCATTCCTTAAATCTTGATGTCTGTAAGTACAACTTGAAAAACCTAGATACTGCGATGACATATAAAGTATATTCAGTTTTTTTAGATCTTTTTTATAAACCTAAGTTAATTTATTTCCATCAATGACATGTGATTTAAACATTCATTTCTTTAATTTTAACAAAATTTTATTTGTCATTCTAGTAAGGAAAGTAATATAAGAACGCCTGCAGAAATATTCAAGTGATTCAATATTCTTTGTAGATATCTATTTCAACGAGTCACAAGTATCAGGACATATTATTTCAATATGGATTTAAATTATAAATAAACCTTCATTTATTTCATTTAAATGACGATTAATGAAATTTTGTTCAAATGAAACTAATATTTTCGGATTTTACTTCGCGTTTTATTTTAGAAACTACATACTCCCGACGTTTCGGCTACTTTTCAGCAACCGTGATCACGGGCAGACGAGATGTGAGTTTGTTCATATTATTTTTGAATTTAATGAAAAGAGTAAAAACAAAATGTTAACTGTAATTTGACGAATGAGCTGTAGGTTTCAATCTTCAATATTCAAAGCTGCTGTGAAGACACCCTCAATCTGTTTGTCTAATGAGCAGGGTTTCAGTATTTGTTTGTCGCCCACATGATCTGTCGAGGCTCTCGACGGATGACGTCGTTAGAGTGATCGAGATGAGGTCCTGATGAGAACACGTCACCGGCCTCCTAATTATACTCGAGTTTGTAATGTTGAATGTGCGTTTTATTGTTCACATTGATGTCATGTTGCTTATAGTGCTTTCAGTTTTATTGTTGTTTAGAAATCATTTTGTAGGTCATTACTAATGTAATGTGATAATTCAATGCAAGTTAGTTTAATGCTCATAATATTATATTTTTTGCAAAGAAATAATTTTTGTTTTAAAATAACTTACAATTAGGTTCAAATTCTTCGAAAAGTTATGATTTTAAAATAAATTCTTGACATACATACTACTATTAATTTTATTTACTTTCCACAAGATCGTTATTCCTGTTTTATGTTACTGTTGCAAAATTTTAAATGACTTTATCTTTTTCTTTGTAATTTTAATGAAACATTACATTGAATCATTCATATTTTCTATAGAATAAATTTTACAAATATAAACCATTAAATGTATTGGTTTATTCATTTGGGAATCCTAGTTACTGAGCATGTAAGATTCATTAATTTAAATATGAACAGTGCTGTCGTTATGTTTTTGCAGGAAGGGAAACATTTTGGAGTATTAATATAGTATCAAATAAAATACCTTTGTAGTATTTAACATATATATTTCTTTGAGCTTTTAATTGCATTTTGAAATACAACATAAAATATTAAATAAGATTATTAAATTTGGTAAAATCAATATTCAACACCATTTTCGTTAAAGAATGAGCAAAGTCCTCTCATCAGAGCTAGCGTATACATCATATTTTTCGTATAATCATTATTATCGTTGACATGATTGTTTATAATTTAAAATTTTTCAGTTTTGCCATTTCGATCTCTAGCGCCGTGAGTGCATGATGGTACAATGTATGAAGATTATTTAAATTAATTTAAGCAAATGTTTCTAATTTTGTCTGTTCTTATGAACCGCTAATACATCGGCGCGAGAGATCGAATCACAGTTCTTTATTGGTTGATATCTTTCGAGACTTACATTATAAAGTTTACAATATTTTTATAATATATAAAAGAGTTTTTCACTCTCGAGTGCCGTATATACATCATCGTATAACTGTCGTTACAACTGGAAGAAACCTCGACACATAGCATTCTACGCGTATACGAATGTCGTCGTCCTTTAAAACAAAAATTGTATAAGTATCACTTTTAAATACAATAAGGTTTTGCCAACCGATCTATGCGCTGGTACAATGGTATACACGAGTTCACAGTAGAGTCCCCTAATATTACTTACTTACATCTAAATAATAAATAGCAACCTCGCGAGGAGAGCGTATCTAGAGCGAAATTTACACTAAGGAGATTGTAGTATTGCATGCTATGACCGGCGCGTCGTATGTACACCGAACTGACGAACGCGGAACTAACGAGATTTGATCTCCGAGATTACAGACATCGACGGATCTCAATGAACAACCCAAAGCTTCAAAATATACATAGATAGTCTAACCGCGTTAACCCTAACTCTGATTTACATATACATTAAGTAACTCAAAAAATTATATTGCAACTAATTTTCATAAAATACTGACAGAGCTATGCGATACCACGCGATCGCACGCCGACCGCCGGGCGGCTTGAGCCGCGTACACATGGCGAACGATAAAAGAATTTTATCATTTAGATTATTAGCAAAAAATATACATTTACAAGAGATCGAATCGAACTTTTAAGACTTACTGGTGACTTATAATATTTACAATTATCGAAATGGAATTACAACATAGTGTGGAAGATAAGCCGCGGCCAACCGACCGCGCGACAACCGTCTCTCTCCTAAAGGCAATATTTTGAAAATATTCTCTTATATCTAAACGAACGTAAGACGTTTGGCGTATACTTATGTCGCTAGTCGTTAATTACACTAACCGAACTATGCGGTGAATTCTAACGTATACCTAAATAATTAAATTGGCAAAGAGTTTCGAAATACTTAACGTCGCGTCGCGACCTAAACACCCTAGAAGGGTTCAAAGTATCAGGATATGGTATCATCACAACTGATGGCCCGCCGACCTCGCTCTTTAGACGTACTTGCTGGATAATTGTTTCGCCAGCTCCGTATACTTGAGGAATTTGGAGTGAGGACTCTCATCGAAAGATTGAGACGGACTCCTCGGGTCTTGAGGTGAGGCTGCGTTCGATCCGCTGCTCTTGTGAGGGCCTGGGGATGGCGCGGCCGGGGGAGCCTTCACTGGCACAGGCTCCGGCAGGGCGCCGTCCTTCACGAAATGCATCTTCGATAAATGATGCCGGTAAGCTCCCTTTGATATAAACGGTGTATCACATAAGGCGCACTTCATTATAGAGTCAGTCACTACTGCATCGTTGCAGGCCCAGCTAAAAGTGAGGATGCTGGGTGGACCGGCGGGAGATGGGGCTGGGGCAGGAGCACGAGATGAATTCGTTTCCGTTTTATCGCAAAGTTTTTGTAAAGCTGCTAAAGGGTGACTGCCTCCGCGACGAGAAGAACTTGGCTCATTTGAGGAACCTCCGCCGGCTAGGTTATCAAACATAGAAGAGAGAGCTCCTAGACTGGAAGCCGGCTTCCTTTCAGTCCCGGGCGTTGGCGCTGATCGGTCACTGGCTGGACTACGAGGACTAGCAGCAGGGCTTGGGCCCTCGCTTTCACGTTTTGGTACAGTTGGCTTTACGTCCTCGTCAACTGCACTGCTTGGTCTTTGTTGCTCTTCCTCGTCCTCAACTTCAGTTTTTACTCTCACTGGTTGGCTACTCAAGTCTACACCGTTTTCGCGTTCTTCTTCATCGGTTACTTCTTTTTTTATCCTAACCTCCGTGAGTCGTTCCTCAGATGCCGGAGTTTGAGAGCCACGAGTATCAGGAGTAGTACGAGGCGTCATGTGGTAAGAATCCAGCTTCCTGTCTGGGGTTAGAGATTCAACTCTACTACCGCCCCTTTCTGACATAGAACTAGACTCACTGCCGCTGCGTTCACGGCGACCGTATCCTTGTTGATGATGGTAACTTCTGAGCATACTCATCGTCTGGGGATCTACTAACGGTTTAGTATAGTCTACGCTTTCATCTATTCCTAACCTCTTTAGGATACTTGACCCGATTGGAGCATGTGAAGCTCCCCCTGGTATGCCTGGTACTGAATGTCGGGAGCGTGTATCAAAGCTTTTTTCTATTAATTGTTCTATAGCATTAAGCACCGATGGCGACGAACTTTTGTCGTTGCTGGCATTATGATCTTTGGAACTGGGAGAAGAATCATTGACCGAAGATGGGGAACGATGATGAGCTGAACCAGGAGATGGAATTTCCTCGTTAATACTTTTTCGACCATCGCGACTAGTGGGGGTGATGTGGCCGGGGACATCAGGTGGAATAATATTATTAGAAAGAAGAGCACTTTTCAGAAAATTCCTTTGGGTGTTTGACATTGGTGATCCAATGCATTGACGAATATGCTCTACAAATACAGCAGTCTCTATTTTATCTCCACATTTCTCGCAAGTAATACGGCTACCAGCGCCGAAATCCCTAATTGGTTTTCCCATGGGAACACCGTTACCTTCGCCATTTTTGAATTCGTGTTGAGCTCGTTCAAGTTCAAGTAGTTTTCTTACTGGTAACGATTTCTTTCGTTTTTCTCGTGTCTGGCGTCTTCTACCACCACTCTCCGTAATAGATCGCATAATATGTTCTTTATAATGAGAATTCTTTACCATATGATTGCTTAACTCTTTTAAGGAACTAAACGCTTGGTCGCAAACCTTACAAGTTAATACCGCGCTAACATGGCTACTCGTTCCTGTTGTTGGAGGAACAGCGTTATTTGTACCCGGGGTGCTAGAGTTAGATCCTTTAGCTTCATCTGAGGATTTCCAGGAAATTATTTGTTCCTGTGATATAATATTAGTATAATGCTGAGTGCGTTGCATATGACTCGTCATTTCAGCTAACGAACGAAAGCTTTCTGCACACCACATGCATTTTAGAATTTGTCTAGTTTGCTCTGCACCCTTTCCTAGCCAAACATCTTGCCCTCGTACTAATTTTCTAGGAATAGGCATGTTTTCTTTTATAAGCATATTTAAATCATTATGATTTGGTTTTGACGATCCACTCGAGGACGACGAATTATGGGATGGCGTCGAAGGCGAACTTGATGGAGGCTGTAGTGAAGGAGGAATCGGAGCTCCACTTGAAGGAGGTACAGGAACGTTAACTCCACAATGCTTAGCTTCCTTCATGTGAACAGTTAGGTCAGCAAGTGAATTGAAGCTCTTCTTACACCATACACATTTCAGGACATCTTTTGTTTGGTCAGCTCCTTTATTCAGCCAATGAGATTGCCAAGCTGAATGTCGTGCAGCTGCATTTGGTGTAAGACCTGCACCTAAAGCTGCACTTTGAACAGATCTAAAAAGTTCTTCTCCTCCTAATCTGCTCAATTCGCTCATTTTTTCCAGTGCTTTAGTAGCATCGCTTGGTGTAGGTGCTCCATGTTTAAGTTTACCATTCCAGTCAGCTGGAACTCCACCTTTTGGTGATAAGCTTGCAGCAGCAACGGCAGCAGCAAAATAAGGAAGATGAGGTGCAACCGGTGTAGACCAAGGTGTCGATAAAGCTTTGAAGTCGGAAGTACGAGAACTTTTTCTACTCGGGACGGGAGATGGAGAATCTTCTGGTCCCCTTTTTCTAGTACCTACAGATAAGTCTAATGGACCATTTTCATTCTTTGTGAGATTGACGGCGTCATCCTCCTCGTCGTCGACCGGGGATTCGCTTCGTTTAGTGCTGAAGTCTAATACGGCATCCGCTCTTTCAGCGTCCGTAATGTCTTCCTGGTAGGACATGAGTAACCGCTGCTGGGCTGCGGCAGCGGCTGCACCGAGATAGGCTGCGACGGCAGCGGAGTGGGGTGGCATCAGCGCTGCGGGCAGGGCTGCCGGCAGTGCAGCTGATAGCGCGGCTGGCAGGGGCAGGCTGGGCGCGCTCCGACCCGAGTACACCGAGTCGTTAGAGGGACATCGCGGCGCGCCGGACGACTCCCGCGACAAACATCTTGGACTCTCCCTGATGACAAAAATATACATACTTAATAAATAAAATAATGCATTCTATTCAAAATACGAGAAACGAACCAATAACATAATCTTATGCAATAGTATTTATATCATTCATAATAAATCAATTGTTTTCCTTTTAGAAATATTGTCTTTGTATGTGTTGATTCTAAATGGAATCCATCTAATGTCAAATCATAGAATAGCAAATTAATGGAACAGGTTCTCAATTTTTATTAAGTCAATAAATTAGAACAGGATTGTCTTAAAATATTAATAAGTTTTAATATAATTTAATTTATAACATTGATATACGGCGTGTTTTGACATTCGGTTGCTTGGCTTTGTCGTATATTGATTTTTGTTCCTAGTGTGTATAATTTATTGCAGACCCTACGTCATATTTTTTATTTTAGACATTTCGCTATTTTTGTATTAAGGCGGAAATACATTACGAAACATGTTCACAAAATAATATTACAATAAAATAGATAATAATAATAGTGTAATTGTCACGTAATATATGAATTTAGTTTTTGTATAATAAACCTTTTTTTGTACACTATATCGAGCATAGTTTTATTAAACCTGTATACACAACGGTCTATGAAATTTTTCAATAGATATTTTTCAATTTAATATTTTTAGTAAAACTGAAAATATGTTTAACTTTATTAGCATCGTGATAAATAAAATGAATCGAGCTAGTAGAGTTTTCATACAAAAAATAATAATTCATAAATGATGGTTAAAATCTATGTCAAAAAGGGTGAATATTTTTTATGTATTCAATAAAATAAAATGTAATATATTAAATTAAATTAAACGAAAATGAAACATACAATTACATGTAATACCTACAAGTAATGTTAGAATGATTTCAATAATAAGTGAAAATCACTATTTAGTTGATACAAAACTTCGATGTCAATCAAACCTACGTTTTAATGGAGAAAATATAAAACAATACAGAAATGGTATTTTCGTCTAACATTTTTAAGTAATCTTCTTTTAAAAGTTTAAAATTCAAAGAAAAGTAAATGTTATAAAACAAATACTTTCATGACGTTACTTTATTTACGTCTCCAAAAATGTTGAAAAGATGTTCTTTTATAAAAAATATAACATGGATGCGTAAATAGAATTAAAAATAAAAAAACTAAGGAAATTTATTTAAAATAATGTAACACTTGTACAAAGAAAACGTACCTCACGTGGTCGTGCTCGACGATCATTTTGGACGTAATTTTTTTTCAGTTTATTCTTAACAGACAGTACAGAAACAGTCTTAAATCCATGAATCGAACGCCACTATATATTCAGAGTCACTTTTACAACAAGAATATCAACTTCCCAGGTTACAATAGAAATGTAAACACGTCGCGAAAGACGCGCCGCATAGCCCGCGGTCGAGAGGGAAGTGCGCGATGCCTGCGGCGGCGACGGAGGACCCGCGTGGAATGAGACGCCGCGTGATTTACGACCCGCCTGCAGCTTCCCCGCACCTCACCTCACGCCCCTCACCAGACAGAGATAAGCTCTCAGCGAGCCGACCGCTCCGCGTGAACAAGGGAGACGGCTACACCGAAAACGCTTCGAGGGGTGTGCGCTGCGTAATGCAAGCGTGCGTGCTATGCGCGATGTGGACGTGCAATGACGGCCGATCGTTCCGATGACAGGCGACCGACAGCACGGCACATAGCTGACTCACCGACCTGCGACGATGGATCTTCATACCAAATAGATAGGCAATAAATAGAGAAACTATACGAGAGACCAAATAAGACTTGCAGACTTAAAGGTTGTCGGCGAAAGTTGGGAAACTTCTTTGGAAGTTAATAGCGGTCTGAAAACTGCCCTTTAAGGGTGGACGTTGACAAGGAAATCGCGCGTAACAAAACGTTGACACGAGTCCTTTACAATAGGACAGACAGGGGACGAGAATGGATTTGAGGATATCATGAACAGATTTCCCGTTTTGATAAATAGACAATTTTCCTTATTTTATAATAATAAACTCACATGACATAGATACTTATAAGAAAACTTATTGAAATTATTGTAGGTAATTTCCTAACTATCAATACTAAACATTTAAAAAAATGTCTTATAGAAATTAATATACGCTAACCTAGTCATTTATAAAAATTATATGTAAATGAACAACATGCGAGGTAAGAAATAAAATAACTCATTACAAAAAAATATTGTTGAATCAGCTTTATAAATTTCCGTAAATATTCAACCGAATCGTCAGCTGTTTATTGCTTCCTATAAGCATTAGTCGTCTGCGGGTCAATCAATCACTCGTATTTATGTGACACGTATTGTGTTCTCTTTCCCCCACCCACGCACGACATCGACTTGGTCACCAGTTGACACAGATTAAAAAAAATAACGAATTTTAAAGGTCTCCAGCGATCTAAGATTGAACAGAAATTATACTCTGTGACTTTGAGTCAAGGACATGGCAGACCTCAAAAGTTAGTTTCGCGTCGTGCGGGCTTAATATGGGGGACACCTGACACTGTTTGAATAATTTCGCAGTTACAACGTGAATTTTAAAAGTGGCACAGATGTTTTGGTAGCAATAAAACTGAGCACTTACAACATTCTAGCTATAGTTTATTAGTTCGGGTGCGGACAGGGATTTGAAGTAGATAAGAAATTATTAAATCTGACAATTATTAAGAAATAAACCTTTTTAATTGATAAATCATTAAAAATTAGGTCAAGACCTTTTGTCCACAATAAAATATATTTTAACAATATTAATTGTAAATTTACTATGAAAATATTTTTTTTCATATCCATAATATAATGGAATTGATATTAATAGATGTGAGCTCTACCTGGATGTAAAGGACCTACCATTAAGGGCCAACACAGTATAGATTGAAGTAATGGCAGAACTGATATTTGAATGTTAGAATTGATATTATAAATATAAATCCAAAATGTAAACAATGGATCCTGAGGATCCAGCGGCGGAGTGTTTATGATTGATGGCGTCTCTTCACTGCAGCTAATTGACAGTGATGGAACAGGGAATGATACAGAACCAATATATAATATGCTGTCAAGAAAACAGTCCTGAACACACCTTACCCTATACTTAAAGAAATAAGATCTAGGTTCCTCTGGCTCCGTGAATGTTAACCTTATTGACCGCAAAAAGAAACCTACCTGCTAAGTAGAGTCCAGTTTTTATTGGTTTGAAAAATATTAGAATCCTAATTAAGTTGTTGAAAATTAATTTACTGATATATCTTAGAAACAAAAAATATAAAGAATAATGAATTAGCTGCGATGGCGAGAAATAAAGCAATGATTGATTTTAATATGATATTCCAATGCAACGATTAAATAGAATTTACTTGTTTTATATTTCAATATTTAGTTTTGTAATATTTTTTTCTAATCTGCCTCACAATTTATCAATATTTTAAAACACTTTTATTTCTCTCATACTTCAATTGCTTTAATGAAGATAATATTTAGGTATCATATATTTTTTTCATACGAAATAAATTTAGAATTAAGTGCATGTGTAGTTATAAACTATGAATTAAATTGTGATTCTAGATAATCGGTCATGAAAACAATTTCTGTCCGCAAAAAAATACTGTAAATTATATTTAGTTGAACTTCGATCGACTTATCTATAGCGATAATTATCAGGCGATGCAATGTTCCTGAGTGACTACATAACAGATATATTGATGGAGTGTCAAATGAAAAATTCTTGATCATTTTTAGTGTCACCTACTAGCTGTCACCGGACATTCGTTTCTTTACCACCAGCGTTGGTGACATCCGCACGAAAATGGTCTCTAATACGTTGAGATACGGAATGTTACTGGTTTGATTCGGTCCGTTATGAATGAAGACCGTGAACGGTTGACAAGTGATCATCTAAAACAATGGCATCGTTAAAGTGGACACTACGGATTGAAGAGACCACCGTCAACTGGACAATGCTTGTGTCGGACTGTTATGAATGCATGCGATAGCTGATAGTTGAATTATCTTTACACCTGATATCTTTGGCTATGTGATTTATTTATATAAACAAAGCTCGGCCGCTGAAGTTGTCGATGAATAGGACATATCTCCAAGACGTTGTCAATAGGAATAGATAAAATATGACGCTGCTTTTACTGAACACGATACACTTCTTTACACATCACATTCTTTGTAACCCTGGGATATTTATTTAGCGTTATTGTAGATTTTAATTTGGCTTCAATATACATATGGAAATATGGTTCATAAAGCTATACCTTTCAGCATTGGGATCCTGTATGAGTGTAGCTGGTATGCTGTGCTCTATATCCCGGTCTTCGGGTGTTGGGGAGGCACGGGATGCTGGCGATGGAGAACGCGACTCTCCCGCCTCTCCCCGCGCCTCCCGTTCGCGTCCTCCTAATTCCTTCACTCCGCTTTCTGGACTTGTGGATTCCTCTGTGGGAAAAAATATATTCCATTAAAAAAATTAAAATGACATAAGTATTTGTCTACGTTCATTCATAGCTTCTACCAAAGTTCTACCTTCTTTCATCATATCAGTTTCTTTTGAGGTATAAAATTTAAAAAGATGTTTTATCTTTAAGTAACCACGAGATAGAAAGTTTTTCGAAACGTAGAAAAATAATTAAGAAACAAGGCAAAAGAAAGGCAAATAATAAAGCCGATAATGTATTTGTTCAAGTTAGTCAAGAGGGCATAAAAGACCGATTACAGATAATACGAAAAGCCGTCTTTGTTAGTAATGCAGGTCAATAGAACAAATCAAAAGCACAAAAATTAGTTCCATTGCTCAAGCGCAAAGAGATCGACATTACAATTATCTAGATAAAAATCGTCACTAAATATTATTTGGGCTGCATGAAGTGGACGGTTAAGATGTTAATAATAATTATTATATATTTACGAATAAGATAAAAATAGTAAAATAACACGAAAACGGGTCATCGTCGACAAGAAGTTGCGCAAACATGTGATTAATGATTGATTGATGATTGTGTTAGTCATCAACCCGGACAGATCAATTATTCAAACTTGGTTATCAATTGACATAATTTCGATGAATCGATAACAACTGTTTCTACATTTTAAAGCTTATCTTATTTAGCGACCCGACATTAAACAGAAAAACAAATTCTATTATTCAAATAGTTATAAACATTTATGTACAAATAAAATGTTGACTATATATTAATATTTTTCCATTGGCTTTCAACACAAGGCTAATATCAGACTTCAAACTCTTTATGTCATATTCTTAATCCTTAATAACTGTCAACCAAAAAGAATTAATCAAGTATCGCTCCGAATATGAAGTTATTATCCGAAAAAGGGTCCATAAAAATTCGTTTTGTAATCTGAGAGTGTTCCAAAACGCCATGGTGGCCTGCGCGGTCCGCTTATTTCACTGTCCATTGGCTCGTGAACCGCGTTTTTGCAAGTTAATTGATTAAAATGCATCGTGTCAATCCGCCACGGATGGCAAAGATGCGCCGAATGAATCGCCCCGGGCGATCCACTGCAGTACCACAATCGAATAAACACGCCCGATTCCGATCAAAGGAAGCCTGTGCATCCGCTAGTGCCTGCCTCTGAGCGCTCTCCAAAGTCAAATTTAAATGACGCGTGGCGTTATCGTGACGCTTTTGAATTATTGCCCGTGGTCTGGGAGTGCGGCCATACGCAATCATCTGTCCAACTTGCTAGTTAGAATCGCTTTCAGCCAGCGGCCAAAGTGGTGCATGTAATCAGATGAATGGCCGTCATGCATGAATGCCTGATTGGAAATCGGACGTCCTAATAGAGGGAACTCTTAAAGAAAGGTGAGTGGACGGTTTTGGAAGTAAACAATAGTTTCAGTTCAACAGAATAGTTCGTGAAATCGATGGTCATTTGTTAATGTTGATTGGCGATAGATAGTAATGACAACTCTTAAGAAATGCACTGAGCCGCAACAAAATCATAAATCTTGATAGTACCAGCGTTACAAAAACAACTATTCTTATAAACTGTACATTACATTTATGTTTAAAGCTTATTAATAATTATATTGCTAAAATCGTTGTTAATTTTATGACAATTTACAGTGTTTTTCAAAAATGCAAAGGTCACTGAATAGATGCCTTACGTTTTTATTAACCAAGTTATAATATTTTAAGCAGGCTACCGTGTCGAGGTGGTGGTGTAGTGTTTAACTTAGCAGGCTCCGTTATCAGTTGTGGTAAATCGTATGGTATATGTGTCATACCTATGAAACGATCAATCAATCGGCAGATGGTAGTAGTCCAGACGGTATCTACTGATAACAGGTGACGGTTTGCAATCATTTACATATTTAACTTTACATAAAACTATTATTAAACAAATGTCGTCTATATTGAGATAACAGTTGGGACTAACTTTTTACTCGTGTCACATTATGTATGTATGTAGGTATAAGAAGCCTGTCTGTCTACATCTCATCCGCCCTTTCGACAGTGTCCGTGTACAATACATATGAACCGATTACTATAAGTTTTCAGTTAATCGATTGCAGACTTTTCCAACTTTCAATCACGGTCGACACGTAATTTCCTCGTCTCGTAGTCGGCTCGTCCGCTGCAGCCGACGGTACAAAGGAGCCTTTGTTAGCGCATTCGTTTCTCTAATC